TGACGATTACTATTTTGATATCATCATCATCATAATCATGATGATAATTATATTAATAATAACAATAACAAGAACAATAATAACAGAATAAAATCAATAAAAACGAACTTGTCCCACTCTTTAAAAGGTGAGGGAAAACGGGTGCACGCGTGACAACTCCCAGTACCCGACCAATCATGACTATTGACATTCCCCGACGACAGTTAATCGGTGGCGGTGAGTTCCCTGTTGTCGGGAGAGAGAGGGGGGGGGGAGAGAATGACCTCGCCTGTGTCCACTTCCAGGACATTCCAGGACACGACCCGAGGCCCCAAGCGACCTCGAGAGAAGCTTCCGAGGACAAGACGGAGCTCCCAAGGGAAACCGAGCCAGGGTATCGTCTAGGCAAGATTACCCGGCCGAGGAGGGGGAAATGGGCGGTGATGGAGGGGATGGTGAAGAAGGGAGATGGTGATGGAGGGGATGGTGAAGAAGGGAGATGGTGATGGAGGGGATGGTGAAGAAGGGAGATGGTGATGGAGGGGATGGTGAAGAAGGGAGATGGTGATGGAGGGGATGGTGAAGAAGGGAGATGGTGAAGAAGGGGATGGTGAAGACGAATGGCGAATTACATGTAGAGTGGTGAATACTTCTTCCCTTCATACGCCACGGTTCGTTGGCCTCGGGCGAGATAAACTTGATTAAAGTTTATACAGGCCTGAGGGCGTTGTCTAGTAGGGTTAATGGCTTTGGTTGTGGGGATTACAGGGGGCCCTTTCACTGCAGAACAGAAATATCATATGCATTCTCCTACACGGCACTGGAGTTATATCAAGACTTGGTAGTAACACTTAATAAACAACATCAGCGACAACAGCATAGGCCACACCACCAAACACAGATAAAATGTAATGGAAAAACGTAAATCTAACAATATTACAAGAAAACAATGATAAACATCAGTTAAGCAGCAATCAGTCTACCAAGATTCGATCATATAAGATATTTCATGTATATTTGCAAATACTATCTGGCCCATTACTCTCATTACTCTTGGATACGGAAAGAAAGAGAGAGAGAGAGAGAGAGAGAGAGAGAGAGAGAGAGAGAGAGAGAGAGAGAGAGAGAGAGAGAGAGAGAGAGAGAGAGAGAGATGCAGAATGGCAGAGATAGATCGATGGATGGATAGACAGAGAGAGAGAAATAGCACAGAGAAAAAGAGAGAGACAAAAAAATGAAGAGACAAGAATAAGGAGAGAGATGAGAAGCGAAGGAAGCATGCCATTCCCCCACCATAAAAGAGAGCTTTCAGAATACCTTCTTCCACGTTTTATTATTTTTATCATTTCCTCGTCCCACTCGTTCTCTCACTTCCACATTACCTTGGCCACAATAGCTCGAGGTCTTTGCCTTTCAGACCTTATCTGTCCCTACCTCGTTCCGCCCCCCCCCCTCCTTCGGTCCCCTCGCGCTCCCGGCCAGCTGGTGCATTATTTTCTCTCATGATATATTCATAGTCGGAGAACACATACGAGCATGCACACAAGCATACACACACAGGCACACACACACACATACATATATATACACAAATGTGTATGTGCATGTGTGTGTGTGTATAATTATATCGAAACGTTACGATTTAATTATATATATACATATATATACATATATATATATATATATATATATATATATATATATATATATATATATATATATATATATATATATATATATATAATATATATATATATATATCTTGATGAAAGAACTCACAGACACGTATAAACGAATGTAATTGTGTGTGTGTGTGTGTGTGTGTGCAAAGTTAATTGCGACATATGTAGTAAGAGGCATGTACTGTGAAGATATTCATTCTCATTCATACTCTTTTCGCTCTTTCTCTCTCTCTTATATATATATATATATATATATATATATATATATATATATATATATATATATATATATATATGTATATACACATCTTACGAATATATATCTTTATCTCTATCTTTATCTTTATCTCTATCTCTATCTCTATCTTTATCTCTATCTTTATCTGTATACATATATATATATATATATATGTATACAGATAGAGATAGAGATAAAGATAGAGATAGAGATAGAGATAGAGATAGAGATAGAGATAAAGATAGAGATAAAGATAGAGATAAAGATAGAGATAAAGATAGAGATAAAGATAGAGATAAAGATAGAGATTTACAGATATATATTCATAAGATGTGTATATACATTATATATATATTATATATATATATATAAAGAGAGAGAGAAAGAGCGAAAAGAGTATGAATGAGAATGAATATCTTCACAGTACATGCCTCTTACTACATATGTCGCAATTAACTTTGCACACACACACACACACACACACACACACACACACACACACACACACACACACACACACACACACACACACACACACACACACACACACACACAATTACATTCGTTTATACGTGTCTGTGAGTTCTTTCATCCCCCCACTACCCATCTCATCCACTGACATGCATCCAATACTTCAACCACACGCTCGTTACTTTATCGTTTTTTTCATAAACCCTCTCTTCCTTTTGAAGATGAAAGTACAAAAAAAAGAGAGAAAAAAAAAAACACAATACAAGGCACGTTTTTAAAGTCTCTGCTTCCGTGTTTAGTTAAGTCCCCGTTGATAAGCATGTCCCTTCTCATTTATCATTAAAGAATTAATTTCCTCGAGTTTCCGTTCTTCAAATTCATTAATTATTCATTGTCCTCGCGGTTATTTTCTCCGTGTCTTTCCATCCTTTACTCTTATTGTCATCATTACACTCTCTATTGTTTTTTTTTTTATTTCACCTACTCTCGTTTTGGCATAATAAATATTTGTTGATAATTTTACCTTCTCTGGCGGACTTGACGGAACAGGAGTCGTTGTCAAGCGCTTACCTGTAAAGAGGAAAACGGAAATGAAATGTAAATAACTTAATCTCCTAGAGGAATACAATCTTAATCTGTGAAATTCATCTTAAAACACAAAAAAAAGAAAATGTTTGCTGAGTCAACTTAATCAGTACAGTCAGCCCTATAAGAAGCGACATAACATGGAAGAAATGAAATGAAGAGAAGAAAAAAAAGGAAAAAAGAAAGAAGGAAAGACGGAAAAGAAAAGAAAAGAAAAGAAAAAAGACAAAACGAAAAAAGAAGAAAAGAAGGAAAAAAAACCCGAAATGTGAAAAATGTATGACCACACCAGTTCGTACATAAAAGCAAACGAAATACATAAGGTTATCCACGGAGAGCTCGGGACAATGGCTCACTTATCCCAGCTGACGGAAGGAGCGAGAAATATCCTAGGGCTTTTACGACCTGCGGACATCTGGTGTCTGCGGCCGTCGCTGCACGCTGACCCTGCTTTACACCCTCATAAGAGTGAAGGGCCGAGTGCAAGCGTGATGTATGGAGAACATATTTTGCATATTTCGACGCTCGCTTGTGGGTTTGTATGTATTCGCAGTCACGATCTAATGCGTGACAATCATAATCGTAACATAAGTCTTATAAAAGTGTTAGAAAGTCCGTGTCCATATCTGTGTATATTGTAATTACCATTTTTATTAATTACGTATTTAATACAAGCAAAAAACATAAATAACGAGACTCCTCCCATCTAAACGGATAAAAGTAACACACACACACACACAAAGAACGCCCGGTTATCACAGTCATCCCCCGAGGGCGAACATTTCAGTGCACTAACGACCTTAAGAAGCGCCTCATTGCCGACACCTTTCCAGATGAGAACCCGGAGCGCACCTTAATAAAGACGACATTCAGGGCAGGTTGCCATCTTCGCACACCTGCATATGGCGAGTCAGAGACTACATGACATATAGTATAGCGAATATATATAGGGTATATATTGCACGTAGTCCTCGATGGCAACTCAGTACTTCAAGAATCACGTTCGTCGTGTAAAATATATGATATCTACACACGCACACGCACACACACACACACATATATGCATATATATACATATAAGCACATATATGTATATATATCAGAAATTATTTACTATACGTAACATACATTATTTACCAACGACATATATTCTTCGTATATAAGACATCACTCATATACGGCAGGCATTGCCCCTACATAACAAGACACCATTTGCATCTGGCAAACATTATTCATATTTAAAAGACAATTTATATAAAATTATTTACATATTCCGTGATCGACTGTTCACAGTGACTGCCTTAAGATTTTGTGCGTTGTCCGAGGTTCTTTGAAGCTGTAAGCAGGTCGGCTTTAGTTTTCCGATTTGATCATTCTTGTCTTATAACTTCCTTCTGAAAGCAAGCACACGTCTCATCATTGTGGTAAAATGACACGAAAAAAATGTTGCATTTTTACACAACAGTTATTGAAGCACGAACTTCAGCCTTTACCTAAAATGAGAGAAATCCAGTGATTCTTTAGCGTAAATCAGCTTTCATAATTTCTTTTTAATTCCAGATTTCCCTTGGTGCAAATCAACTAGTATAGAGTGTTCGATTTATTTTTCCTTCTCCATTTCTTCCTAATATCCATTTCCTCCTTTCCTTTCATCTTTAATTATTCATACTCGGATGGAGCAATAACTCCACGTACACAGAGAAAAAGAGATAGGTAGATAGACAGATAGACAGATAAAGAGATAGAGCGAAAGAGGAAGAGAGAGAGAGAGAGAGAGAAATCATTAAAAAAATTGAAATCCACGCCATGTTCCCTCGAACCATCAAAATTCATGGTTGCCAGATCTCGGCAGCAGTCAACCTCTCAGCCATGTAATAAAGTGAGTCTCCGCGGGCCAGGCCGAGGTAGGGTTAAGTGGATTTATTTCCGGCTTCCAGTCTGGTCACAATGGCCCCGTATATTTCAACGTGTGACGGTTGCGTGGTAAGTTTACACGGTGCTTGTCCATAATTCTGTCTACTTAATGGTGATGGGAGGTCACTTTG